CGTCCCTTGATCCCCCCCTCGGCCGCTTTCTCGCATGAATCTCCTCGACCCTTTCATGAAAATGACAGAAGAGCAGGACAAATGTATCTCCGACGCCCCCAGCCCCACCATGTCGGATGACTCCGCCGGGTCCCCCTGTCCCTCTGGATCCGGGTCGGACACGGAGAACACCAGACCCCAAGAAAACACCTTCCCCAAAGGGGACCCGGACCTGAAGAAGGAGAACGACGAGGACAAGTTCCCGGTGTGCATCCGGGAGGCGGTGAGCCAGGTGCTGAAGGGCTACGACTGGACGCTGGTGCCGATGCCGGTGCGGGTGAACGGCTCCAGCAAGAACAAGCCGCACGTGAAGAGACCCATGAACGCCTTCATGGTGTGGGCGCAGGCGGCCCGCAGGAAGCTGGCGGACCAGTACCCGCATCTGCACAACGCCGAGCTCAGCAAGACCCTGGGCAAGCTCTGGAGGTGAGCGCGGGGCCGGGACGCGGGATGCTGCGGGGGCTGCGGATGCAGAGCCCGCTCCAGCCTGGACCAGCGGTCACGGGAGGGAGAGGATGTTCCCGGCCTGGAAGAGTCGCTGAAAACTTTTGCATGTGCTGGCGAACTTGCTTGGCGCGGGAGAAGCCGGAATAGTAGGGGGAAAGCAGGGAAAGCGGTTCCGCGTGGCCGCCTTCTGGTCCTGGAAGTGGTTTCTTTTCCCCGAGCGATGCTCGGGCTGGGGGGGACCGTGCGGGGGCTGGCGGAGCCCCCCGGGCCGTGCGAGCAGGGGCTGCCCCGGCCGCTGTTTGTTTGTGCTCCCGTGTCCGGAGAAAATGATGGGTTTTGGGGATTGCATCAGCTCGGCCCGGGAGGGGAGGGGGTGCGGGAGGGGGGCGATGCGGGGAGGGGGCGGCGGTGCCAAGCCCCGGTGGCGGGCGGGTGGGTGGCGGCGGCGAGTGGCGCATGGCCGGGTGCCCTCCGATTGCCAAAATAAGGCAGGGAGGGGAGAAAAACAGAAGGCAAGTGAGTCACCTGGCCGACACGCACTCTGACTGCACAAGGGGGCGGCGGGGAGGGGGGAATCCTAAATTTGTGGCAGGAGGAGAAATGGGTGAGCAAACCTGGCCCTGGCAGGCAGCGATGGGGTTGTCCCCAAAGCGCCCGGGGACGGGGACATGTGCCCACGGGATGGGGAGGGCGAGGGCTGGACCCCGGTGCAGCTCCTGCACCTCTCGTCCTTCCACTGAAGCGACCTGAGGGGTGACAACCAGCGAGTGCCCCAGACAGGGGGCTCAGCACCGTGGGGGGCTTTGCATCGCCAGCCGGGGGATCCGGGGGAGAGACATGAGCTGGTTTTAACGCGCTGATGCCCCCCCTTGAGCCGCAACTGACCCCTTGCACCCCTCCTGTGCCCCCCCAGGCTGCTGAACGAGAGCGAGAAGCGTCCCTTCGTGGAGGAGGCCGAGCGGCTGCGGGTGCAGCACAAGAAGGACCATCCCGACTACAAGTACCAGCCGCGGCGGAGAAAGTCAGTGAAGAACGGGCAGTCGGAGCAGGAGGAGGGCTCGGAGCAGACCCACATCTCCCCCAACGCCATCTTCAAGGCGCTGCAGGCCGACTCGCCGCAGTCATCCTCCAGCATCAGCGAGGTGCACTCCCCCGGGGAGCACTCGGGTAGGTACCCACGCACCCACGAGGCGTTTTGGGGGGGGGGGAGACGGCACAGCTACAGCTACCTAAGGAAAGTTGCAGCCCGAACCAGCTGGGATTGGGTAAGGGAGGGAAAAGGAGACCCAAAAATGCAGTGAGAAGGTGGGGCAGCTGCATCAGGAGAGGGGGCAGAGCTGCCCACGAGCTTTGCCCGTGGCACGGGCCACTGCAGCCACTTCCACCCCCCCACTGCATGTGGGAAAGTTACACTCTTAAATAAATAAATAAATAAATAAACAGAAAGCACCCTAAAAACTTTGCCCCCTGTCACAGCTCGTGTCTGAGGGCTCAGTTATTTCACCCAGCACAGGAGCTTGGTGCTGACAGGGCTCAGGTCTGTGCCCCCCACACAGCGGCAGCCCCTGTTCCCCTGCCCCCCGTAGGTGGGTTAACCATCGACTGCCTTACCACAGCGACACCCCCCTCACCCCTGTCCCCCTTCCTTCCTCCCACAGGGCAATCGCAGGGCCCCCCCACGCCCCCCACCACCCCCAAGACGGACGCGCAGCCGGGCAAGCAGGACCTGAAGCGGGAGGGCCGCCCCCTGCCCGAAGGCGGCCGGCAGCCCCCCCACATCGACTTCCGAGACGTGGACATCGGGGAGCTGAGCAGCGACGTCATCTCCAACATCGAGACCTTCGACGTCAACGAGTTCGACCAGTACCTG